TATATATATTATTCAATATTTTTTATATTAAATAATTTTGTCTCAAAATTGGTCATTGAACTCAAATTTATTTCCATTTATATATTATATCTAATATAAAGTTATTAAATATTCTATTGATATACATCAAAATTAACGTAATATATAAGTTTAAAATACAAAGTTTGACTTTCTGCTTATATTTGTTTATAATAATTGATGTATCTTATAGTAGTAGCATAATTCAATCATTCTCATATATAATCTACGTGAAATATTACTGGCAAAATTCTTTGTATATTGGTTCAGAAAAGTTCAATATACCTACAGACCGAGGCTATATGAAAATGTCATGCACTCCATGCATATATCAAATGTCTTTAAATATTTTAAAAATAACCCTAAATAACAAAAGCACCAGTGGTCTAGTGGTAGAATAGTACCCTGCCACGGTACAGACCCGGGTTCGATTCCCGGCTGGTGCACTCTTTTTTAATTTTATTTTTCTTTAGCATCAGATACGATAACATTTACATCCAAAGAGGGACCCACATGTAGTTGTTTTATTATGGTTAAGGATATTATAGCAAGGCATGGACATGGTTGCTGTAATATGAAGCAAGTAACGAAGTTACTGAAACTAATGGATGAAGACAATTAACTAGAAAAAGAAAAGGATGTGAGTGCTTGGGTTAGTATACCAGTACCACTGTATTAGCACATAATGACGTAACCTTCATTCATATATGCCACTCTTCTTCATTTACCCAAAAGACGAAAAGAAAAAAACAAGGAATCATAATCAGTGTTAACCCCGTACCGTTCGTTTTAGGCTAAGGAAGGGAACATGGTTAAGGTTGTATTTGAATTAATGATGTTTAGTTAATGGAATATAATAATATTCTTTCTTATCGGAATTACATTAACCACAACTGAATTCAAATTTTAAATTATTTACATATTATTTCAACCTATCATGACAACTAATTTAACTTTAGTAATAAATGGAATATAAATATATACATGAGTCGAAAATAATAAAACATGATGAGTCTCACATGTCATTATTTGGATGTCTGGATGTGTGTGGTGTGATGAATCGGAAGAAATTTAAATTTGTTGGAAATTCCAGCAGAAATTAACATAATAGTAACCGTCATTATTTTTTTCATCTTAATTAATTATTTCAAATATAGGAGTGATAATTATTCAAGTCATCGAATTTTTAAAAAATTTAAAAATTATTTGATACTTCATTTCATTAATTCAAATTGACGGATAATTATAAATTGATTTGTATTAATCAAATGAAATATCAAATGATTTTCAAATTTTTTTAAAATTTACAAATTTGATCTATGTATTAAGAATTTTAAATCAACAATTGGATCATTAAAATTTAGTGTAGAACATGAATTATTGAACGGAGTAAGTTTAAATAGACTTACTCTTGAAGTAAACGGATCTCTCCTATATATATATATATATATATGTTCTTACCTGAGATCGG